TCCAGACTAACAAGGTTCTACTGTACACACAAACCGAAGTGTCCAGACTAACAAGGTTCTACTGTAAACACAAACCTTAGTATCCAGACTAACAAGGTTCTACTGTACACACAAGCCAAAGTGTCCAGACTAACAAGGTTCTACTGTAAACACAAACCTTAGTATCCAGACTAACAAGGTTCTACTGTACACACAAACCAAAGTGTCTAGACTTACAATGTTCTACTGTACACACAAACCAGAAGTGTCCAGACTTACAATGTTCTACTGTACACACAATCCTAAGTGTACAGACTTACAAGGTTCTTTTGTACACACAAACCAACTTGTCTAGACGAACAAGGCTTATTTATAAAAGATATTTTTTCTCAAATATGCACAAATGCATTCCAATATTTTAGGTTTACGTTCCAATTAATTTTGATACTTTCATTTATCACGCAAACATCTTAACATTCCGGCGGATTAAGTCGTATACTTAATAAATCATTCCGCCAATTTTATTAACACTGTGTAATCAATCATTTCCGATTAAAACTAAAAACCATTACAAACTGGGGTTTTTTCCTTCATCCTGTTAATAACAGTTAGAAATTAATGATTTTTTCCGTGATAGATGAAAAATAACGAAACTACCTGATGAGACTAATACAGATGGCATTAAAAGTCCACAGAACGTTTGGGCCCATATTCAGGAAACCGTTCTCATGCTCAAGCATAGATTTTGTGCTCAAGCGAAATTTCTTATAACACTATAGGTCAAGTAACACAGGTAAAAACTTAGAGTCTAGTGTAAACATCGAAAACAGTGTTAGGCTTTTAATCTTTACAGTATTTATTTACAAAATAAAGGTACTTTTATAAATTCATCACGGGCACGAGATATTGGGTTTGAGCACAGAGTCGGAGTCTGAGCACAGAGTCGGAGTCGGAGTCTGAGCACAGAGTCGGAGTCTGAGCACAGAGTCGGAGTCTGAGCACAGAGCCGGAGTCTGAGCACAGAGTCGGAGTTTGAGCACAGAGTCGAAGTCTGAGCACAGAGTCGGAGTCTGAGCATGAGAACGGTTTCAGGAGTTCAGGCCCTGGTCCAGTATATAGACATTTAACAGGACCTGTACATAACGATGCGATGTTTATGTCTTTTAATAGGAAATTATTTCTATAAAGGGTTAAGTTCTGATATGTAAAGTATTTAGAGAATGTGGGAGGCAAGCACGTGTGTTAAAGTCTTGGGCACACAGTTTCAGTTAAACACGTGTAACACATACAATGAGCAGACGTCAACCATTAGACTGTATATATGTATATACATTGTATATAAGTACGGGACTGGACACGTCCACGTTTAAGTATATACAATCCATTTAAAGTGAATTTGACACCGAGCTATAAAATAATCTATACTCCGGTCTAAATCTAACAGCTAACTATGCTATTTCTGTCTATATATCTGATATAGAGCCTATACTTAATTGAAGCCAGGTACAGTTCTCCGGTCTGTTAAAATCCTACCCATCTATAAGACTATTTAAATCCATAATTTCACTAATATAATACACATCAACAACCCAAAGGTTGCACATTTCTTAATTGGACATTTTCAATCCCACATAAATTTCATTTATTCAATTTTATGGCGTTCGATATTGGTTTTTTCTTCTTCTAACAATAATTAATTATACATAAAGTTCGTTTGTTTGAAAACAAATTGGCATATAAACACACGGATTAGAAAATACAAACAGGTGACCTACGGTAGGTATTATTACATCTTTACGACTGTTTTCAATTGTCAGCAATTTAAAATCCTGAGATTTAAATATCCCCTTTCAGCCTTGTTTATCGTCCACAATGGTCTTTGTCGCGTGAATAATGTGTGTTGTGTAAGGTGTGTATGTGTCGGTAGCTAGTCTGTGCTGTCTAGCCGTCATATGTAGAACGTCCATGTGTGTATAGATATTATGGTACCCGTCTGGTACATACGTCATAGAAGAGGGCGCACTGTACCATGTACAGTATCCCGTGTAAAGAGGGCACATTATACTATTAGAGTCTCCCGGCCCCTTAAAGGCACAATGTACCATATATAGCATACAGACCCATAAAGGGCATAATAGACTGCAGTCTACAGACCTCTTAAGGGCATAATATGTAATTTACAGACCTCCGCGTACAGAGGGCATCTAGCCCACAGACCGCGACGCAAGGGAAACCGTTTAGCCTGTAGTCTACATAAATTGGTTTACAGTCCCGTGTATAGTCTACAGTCAGAACAGAGGGCACATATATAGAGTCTACAGACTCCGGTCCAAGGAACAAATAGCCAATAACTGACCACCTGGGCGGAAATACCTTGTATAACCTACTGAGCCCGTCGATTGAGGAGGACGCAATATACACCCCCATCCCTCCTATACTACGATAAAAAAATCTCGAAAAGATGAGACATCAAATCAAATCATCGATGGTGGTTGCTACTAGAATTTGTTTGGTTTTTAACATTGTACTCCTTTAAACGTTTGAATGAGAGGTGATGAGAGTGTTGCTGAATTTAACCTCCAACCCCCATACCTTCTTACACTGAACTAGGAAATGTCTGATCCCTGTTTGATCAAACTTACTTAGACATATATATTATATACCAACAACAACACACAGAAATTGGACCTGATTCACAACTTCCTACGTTCTGACTCAGTCAACAGATTTAAATACACGCTAAACGACTTCAATGTCGCTTGATTTGTTTTCTTCTTTCTAATTTAGATTTGAGCTCAATACACCGTGACAGTATCAATGCATACATGTATATTTACACACGCACCCTTGAAAGGTTCCGATTTCTATGTGAACACGACCACGTACTTTCAGCAGACAATGACACTTTCTGTCCAATTTCTCTCCATGTTACGCGATTAAAAAATAATGAAATTCTTAATATTTTGAAAAACTGATAATGAACTGTAATTTGTTGATCCGGTACAATTTGTTTAACGTGTGAAAACTGTGTGTACCAAATAAACCCACGTGTGCTCAGAGCGCACCGTATGTCGAGTGAATCGTAGCTTGTTAATATCCAATAACATTACACACAAAATAGCATCTACTGATAAACGGCGCACCCAGGTAATGAAAGTTGTATTCGTCGGGAAAGGAAAATGATACCGTTTCGTAAATGGGGTTTCCATGGGAAAGTTCGGAACAAAGATCATTCAATGTCATAACATCTCGTTGATTTATGGCGTTTAGAAGAAACAAAGAATGGTATATTTGTCACCTGGAAAAGGTCTTCTTGTATTAAGACGTGTTTTTTCCACGTTTACACATACCACATAGATGTATATCATGAAGGGTGGGTTTGTCCCCCGGGGAGGGGGAAAGGTCAGAAATAAAATGTGACTGTATGATACTTGTACGTGTCTATGCGGGGAGGAGGGAAGGGGTGAGAGTACGAACACCTATGAACTATATATGTGCATAAATGTTATATGCACAACTTTCAGAGGGGAAAAAAGAAGAAGAAACATCCAAAAGGGTACATGTATCAAAGTTATGGACCCCCGACGCACAAGTATACGTATTATACATTCATATTGACACCACGCTGTACCGTTATCAATATAGAACAGAATTCCTTATATCAATGGTCTACACAGAGTGTGTGGAACAAACCCCGGAGAAAATTACCGCGACCATAGATTTAGAAATACCTATATTGTGGTGTAATGTTTAGTTAGCCAGCCCGTATACCTGTTCATACCTGTCTACATTCACCTTTAATGACAAATGAATGCCGACTACCTGTCCATACATAATGATAATATATATAAAGTACGTACCTGGGGGTCGATAAACTAGTAGTCCTCCTGTTGGGCCCGGGGGACACGCAGTGTCGGGAGGGGCCCGGCGACACACACCGCCTGGCCGGGGAGGGAGACGTACATCTCCGGGGGACGGGCACAGCAGATTTAACGGGTGATACCGGCCTGGCTACCTGCACCTGAGATCGGCTACCAGCTGTTGTTGTTGTTGTTACCTGCGAGGGCTTATTAGTATACGAAACCGGAGACGGTGAACGGAATTTAGCCGGAACTGGTGATTCGCTTCGTCTCGTGTTATTAGTTATAGATTTTTGTCCGGTAGATGTGTCCGTTATTTGATTACTATAAATAGATTCACTTGGCATGGAAACTTTCCTAACTGGCTGTGATGGGATTTTCCTGGGACTTGATGCCGGTGAAGGAGACATGCTGCGCATGCGTGCCGGTGAGGGTGGCCTCTGAATGGCTGAGACTGAGGATGGTTGGACAGACATTTTGCGAGGCGTTCTTGGGGTAGTGGGGACGGATTGTGAGACAGCGGTAGTGCTCGCCCGGCGGGCCGGGGTGCCTCCAGCCCGGGACACGGACTGTCGATGACCTGCAAGAAAAAATAACAAATAAGTAAAATACATAGGTATATTTTTCATTCATGTTTTAACATCATTCCAACATCTAAGGCCATGCGAAGTCGGATTAACATATGTACTAAGTGTTTAAATTATGCAAACATAAATGTTTTCTCACAAACAAGGAGTACAAAACAGCAAAACGTATCTTTCTCCATCCGCGGGAAAGACAGCCAAGCCATCTTCTGAGGGAGTAATTAAAAACGTTTACCTCAATTTTTATTTCCCTGTTTTTAAATCTAATAACATGTACTCCGTATATAAAAACGAAACGTTATAATTCGGCAGGTGATTATGATTGTACGTGTATTGCATGAGTCAAAGGAATCGAACCCGTGTCGAACGACACAACGCTAACTGCTGCAATATCCTTCAATTTTCACTCTCAAAACTTCATGTTTTATGATTGGCGAACTCTTTAAACTGAAAGTGTTACTAAATATACTGACTTTTGACTTTCTTGATTCAAAATTATAATCTTTATTATCAACCATTAGATAAAATAATTAAAAAACAAAATACTTGCAAAACTGTATATAGGTGAGATTACAATGACCTTTCAGAAAGTTACGATGTGACTGTTATTACAGTATAACTTCGATATAACGCCCCTCGTTTTATTTGCCACCTCGCTAACCGCCATAAAATCGATGTCCCTTTATTCTTTTTTCCATTTTCCCCCTTAAAATTATTTTGTGCATTTGCCTCTTTTTATCGCAAAACTTCTTTATAATGCCAACATGTTTCTGGACAAAATGTGACAGTTAAACGTGGTGTTGCTATATATATGAGCCATTCAGTCTTATTCCGAAACTGTCCGGGTTTCACATTTCAATGAGGAATTATATATAAATTGAATGCCATTAATAGCCTGTTAGAATGCTTTTGTATATTTCATTATTTGTGATAACGTGACACTTCGATAAACAGAAGAAAAACAACTACGTACTGAGCAGATTGATCCATAGTTTTTCTCAATTATTCTGTCGTGTTTCGGACAATTATGTCCATAATGACGTCACAAGCCTGTTTCGTACACAATTACACGACAATGTCTATTTGACGGTTGAGTGACAGCTCGTTATTAGAAAACACGTGGAATTCATTTCAGTTATTGATTTAAACAGCCATGTCTCTTTCATATACTATATGACAGTGTAGGTAATTAATGGTGTGAATGCAAAGCCCATTACGACCACAAAGACATACGGGTCTTTGTGCTCCTGATAATTAGCCTGTAGAGGGCCCCAGCACACTCTAACTGTACACAGCAACTGAAGGGCTAATTTCCCGAAAGGATTTTAGTACTTTCGTCTATATTCAACAAACAAACATAATCTTAGGTCCCGGGCCTTGGAGGGATCTAGTTAAACAATTTTAAAATTATTTCCACTAATGTTGCTGAGAAGAATGACCAAATGTCAAGACAACTTGTCAAGTAACACAGTGGATAGAATCGGTGGAGGTTTTTTTTCATAATAAATTAAGAAGTTTCTTCAGAGAAAAGGCTTCACATATTGGAGCCCTGTTCGTTGGAAATGCAACAAAGAACGCGGAGACCCTCTTCCTTAAGACGCATTTTGAAAGATTTTATGTTGTAAAAGCTTTGTTTCGTTTCCAGAGAAGAGATAATGAAACACAATCTTTACAAAAGGAAAACAATTTCCTAATTACCCATTACAGGACAATTTCCGAAGGAGTCGTTATACGTTTTTAATGACACGGCTTTATAATGGACAACACACAGGACAACAGATGATTCCGCGACAGGTTTTGAAAATGTTCCAAAAAAGAGTTTTGTAATTATTTGTGGCAGGTGTAATTTAATTATTGTTTGGAAGCAGGCAATTGTTAATTTGTGTTAACTTGTCTGCAGTCTTACAATTGAAGTTCTGTTTCGGAAAGGTTGCCTTACGTTGTTGCGAAGCTAAAGGAAACCTGATGTTCTATACTATCAAGATTGTTTAGAAACAGAATTCCTCTTTCTAGGCTCACTTTGTAAAACAAAAGGTTGCATGTATTTTTCTCGATTATAACACTAAATAATCAAATGATTACCTGCGCAGTAGTATTATGAGATCTAAATACTAAAATAGACACTTTCAATCGCCGACAGTATAGATTTAAAAATACGATCGTTACGATTGCGTTAATCCATATTCCAAAAAAGAAAGATTTTTTTTGCGGATTTTGAATATGATCAGTTGTAATCTCGAACGATACGATACAAGTACCCGACGACCGATGAATTATCTTGCTCCAGCTAAGCCAGTTTACCATTGAATAGTAACAGATCACCTACAGATATTGGCTGACCGATTTTTTATGAATACACAAAACAAACCGAAATAGACTTGTCTTACGGCAATACCTGATTTCCCATAATACTCGCCCTGTGTTTACACCCACGGAGTCGGAAGCATGCGACCGTAAGGTATTCCAACTGACATATATAAGGGCGCACGTGACATGTAAACTTGAACGCCTTGATTGACGGGGAAACACTGTCATTACACATAATAAGATAATTCCTAAGGGCTTGGAGGCAACAGAAGCGGAAAGACGGACGGACGGACAAACTGAGGTGTGTCTGGTTAAAGGGCGGGGCAGGCATCTGACGAGAAGAAAACAAATGGACAAACTAAAACTTAGGAGGTACATGTATCTGATCTAAGGTTGCCACAGGCAACGGAAGTAACGAAGACACACGGACAGACAAACTGACACTAGTGACAGACAAACAGGCTATGGTGTGTCTGGTCTAAGGGTTGAGCTTGGAGGTTGTAGACGGACATACTGACAGATATGATGTACGGGTGTGGATGGGAATCGGATTAGCAAAGGACGGACGGACGAACGAACAGAAGAAAATGGGCAATGTAAATTGTGATTTTTATATTCTTCATCACTAATGCTTTTGTGTGTGAATTTGTCCTTTTGAAAGCCTGCGGCCTCTGATTTTGTTGGGAAATGTCAGAAACGGAAGTGCTGTCTTTCAGGGGCAACCACTCCATCAATCAAAGGATGGTTTCAAAGAATTGACCTTATATAAGTATCGGCCTTTGCTGGATAAATCAGATAATTATTAATAGGTGAAGGTGCGTTACACAGCGATTCGGAATAAGTGAAGGGCCTCTGGAGGTATTTATCGATCTCTGCATTAACCTTTCTTCCGGTTTATCGATTTCGTACTTACAGGCGAGGAGAAATGGCAGCACTAGCTACACTGTCTACAGTATCGCTTCACGGAACATTGTTAGACTATCACTGACTCTGTGTATATTTCCAAACAATGTACTCGCCGTGTAGAAATAGGAAACGACAGCGATGAATGCCATTCACAATGTCCCAGGGAGCTGGACTGGTTTAGAAATCAATAAGATACAAAATAGGAGTGCTAAATTAATTATATGAAAATATGGAATACCTTTTATATATAAACAATGGGTGTCAATTTTGATAAAGTGAAAAGTTACATTGTAATGTCGGTCGAAGGCGGGAAAATATTCTCTCTTTTACAAATCCGGGTTCTATTTTGTTTGAAATATGACAGGGAAGTGATTGTAGATTTATTTTTGCTAAAAAGGCAGCACCTATTTTTCTAACAACATTAGGTCCTGATCGCTTGTTTACACTTAGAAGATATAAATGCATGTCGTGACTCTTAAAGAACACACGGGTGAAAATGTGTGTTTATACGGTGTAATGTCAAGGTTCGAGATATTTATAACCTGACGTATCTAAGTATAAGGTCAGATGAGGCGACTAATGGGAAGGCAGGTCCGCTGTAGCTGCAGAATCTTCAATTTCAAGGTCACCCCTGCTTCGAGGACATCGAACAGAGCACACTAGCTCTGTCACATTCATTGTTGTACATGTGGACTTGTTATTCAATTTGCTTGGGAAAAGTCCCTGTAATTGGGTTATTACCGTATTAGGCCGATATTGTATCACTCCTTTTATTAAAAGGACAATAATCCTGATCAAAGAATCAAACAATTTCTTCTACAGCGAAATTGTAAATATCGGCGTAGGTTCTGGTCTTCACGGCCTATCAATACAACAACGTGACGTGTCAAAAAGGACTACTGCAAGTATATAAAACTCATACAGAAGAACCTATTTGCACTGACATATATTGTATTGACAATATAGTTCCATTCAGGGCTATGAAAAGCAAGACTACGCTGACAAAGGCATGTACTTAAAATCGATTACAATTGTGTTGTATTTTCGAATTTATGTTTGTTTAAGACTTAACAATCAAGCTACATGAAAAGACGCCAATGAGAAAATTATATTTTATCAAGATTATTTTCTTCCTCCTTTGTGCTGGTCTGGTCGTGTACAGATCGTTTTGATGGGAATCGATCTAGTGATCTTACTATTGATCTAGAAATGATTGATAAATACTACATCATGGGTATTTGGTTTTTCTTTGTAGAGTACTTGCTCCACCCAAAAGATTTATTTGGTCTTTAGACAAGATGGTCATTTAAACGGTAACCTGAGGAAGTCAGCATTGGTCGTTGTAAGTCTTCGTCACTTTGATTAAGAGGCGTGAACGTTCTGTGTCAATTACTTGTCATTGATACGGAACGAACTTTTACGTTGATTAGTATTGGCAGCTGAATTTTGTGTAATAGCGGTAATAAAACACCTATCAAATAAAAAGTTGATTTCAGAACATGGACAGTTAAAGGTCGGACACGGCCGTGGACAGTCCAGCGCCAGTGACGTCAACAACAACATATGATTAACCGATACGGAAATGCCCTGTATAAATATTGTTGGAATGTCTTTTGAAATTGTCCAGCGTACGTCATTAAAATCGAACGCTAAGGTCAGCAAACCACATCGGTTTGTATATTTTATACACACTGGGCTAAACAAAGGATTATACTGTATTCATTGACGTGATTCATACAAATACAAAACAGTATTTAAATCCGATGTCAATTAAATCTATTCCAAAAATATATGCATATATGGAATAACCGGAAATAGAAGGCCACCAATCATGGGCGACTCGACAGGTGTGACGTCATAGTATGTTCTAACATTATAGGAATTTGTGAATGGAACCCCTCCTTACCGCTGTTTATTTAACTTTCATGTCACGTGCAAACAATTAATAATTAAATTGATGCAGGAAAGCGATGTTTTTTACCAGGGCTTGACAGAGTATTATACAGATATAATTATACTAGTATTGTAAGATCATGCTTTAAGGTCGGACACAAGCATCTCCCGACGGCGGGAATCGAACCAGAGCCTAATAGAGCACTGGGGTTCCAGTGCTGTCAAACGCTCAAAATATCATCCTCTAAAATACAAGGGTTACGCTTATTTACGTTTTCTCATCATCGAAATTCCAGCGATTTCATCCCCTTAATTTTTTTCTCCAAAGAACGCAAATTTCTTTACAAAGTACGTTCTCTGCAGAGAACGAATTGATGTATAAGACCTAGACCTCACGAGCAATATGAACTTAATGTGGAAATTTGTTCCCATGCATCGTTGTAGGAACAAAATATCAGTGCTATGCATATAAAAGTGTTAATGTTTCACTCAAAAAATCAAAAGGATCCGTAGTCGTTAGATTTATGTGACTTCTGCGTCAAGTTTTGCCGATTCGATCGCCATTATTGGTCGTTCATATAGCGGTACCCATATAACCTGACACGAGAAGCGCTGTTTTATATCTTTCCAATATTAATTAGCTCTATTGAAAAATGAGAATCGATACTGACTTTGATGTATATCGCATCTTCACGGCATGATGGTAGCACTTGTTCATAAATCGGATCAAAATTGCCGCCATCATCAGAGGGATGCCGGAATGTTTATAGCAAGGCGTGTATAGATATTAGAACCAACAAGCGGAATCCGGATATCGTAAAGATATTAAAGGCCGATTCGGTTTCATTTGAACTTCGCATTCAATATGAATTTACGATCCGGATTTCAGTGAAGAACCGCTCCGGACTTATATGAATCATAGCCAAATTTCTGTTGCGTGTCATGCCTTAGGTACGTAGAGTAGATGCAAAATGAATAAATATTTTACATTTAAATTGAACTTCCAGCTATACCATCTATGGTTCATTAACCGCGAAGAAAATTACAGGAGTGGAATATTTAAATAATACCAAACACATTGATTAAAATAAGATAATTATTCCTGTTGCGTACTAACGTCTAGTTTAAAACATATTAAACCCGTATTTAATTTAAAACCCTGTTTAAAAAAACTTGATCAGCAAAAATATCGTATTTCCTGTAATTAAGGCTGCTTTGTTGTTACAGGTGTTCCCGCCTAATCGAATGTAAACAAATGTTAAACGGGAAATATATGTCGAGGTAGAAAACGACTTTAATGCCCACATATGTCTGTCATATTGTGGAAAAAGACAGGAATATTTATTGTCATTATTCCGTTCGTTGTTTTCAAGTTAAAGTAAAAGAAGGCTGCGTAGGTAATATTGTCGTGGCTTCGTGTACAAAATTTGAGTAGAAAAATTAGTCCATATTACGATACATAGCCTTTGATAATATCAATAATACAGAATGCAAAATCAGTTATACCTTTTCTCATAACACACTCTATACAAATGTAAGTATGTAAACCCCTTCCCAAGAACATATTGTCTTGGTTTATTTCATAAATGTTACCGATTATATGATTATTTTAAGAAAATATCTGTCCGTTTGCCTCCTTGACTGCACCATAACTTATCATAAACCTAGGTAACAGCAAATATCTTCTCTTAACAAAATTATGCAAAGCAGTTAAAATCACCGCTTCAGATATCAAGATAATTACATGTACATACAAAGATAAGATTTGTTTACGTATAAAAATAGGATTTGTTTTTAAAACCCTGGTAAATATTTATAAGTTAACACCAAACTGGCCTGATCAAATTTAAAATTATTCTCAAGCATTATTTCATGTTCGAAATTCTCTTATTTTAAGTGTCAAACAATATTATTCGTACTTGATAAAACCAAATAAGTTCAGAACAAAAATATGCAGTAAATTACACCTGAATTCAATTTTAAAGACTTGAATGGCGCATACACGATTATAGAGATTCTCAAAACGATTATGGTATAATCGATATTTCATGATGTCTTTTTAACTTTTTGATTTGAATGCAAATAAACGCTGTACTTTCTCCGATACTTCAGACATTGAAAGGAAATCGTGACATTAAAATTTAATTAGAAATCTGAGAGTCATAATGACGTAAGGTAATCAAAGTCACGTCTTACAAGTAGGTGGTAGTGAGCATTTATTTGTATGTATAGGAAACAAAGGCCCATTAACTCGACAACCTTGTAGTACACCCTCAGTAATGTCGATATTATTTTTTTAATAAAAAAGGCATGAGCACAAAAGAACATAACAAGCAAACCACTTCCCAAAACTTTACCCGTCACCTTAGCCAGTGCCTTACACTTCTGTGGTACATGTATATAATTATTGACCATTAGTAGGTAGTGTGGAAATATACCTGGTCCAGATTTGAGGAGCCCACTCGAGACAATGTGGGATATAAATCTCACTACCCAACACATCCTTCGTATTTATGGCCCACTTTCTACACTTACCGGGAGCTTTGACGACCTCATATAATGTTACTACTGACGATGACCGAGTGTTTTACGGGTGAAACGGGTAACGTCGATTTGTCACGTTTGATTTCATGGTTTTGGAAAGTCACGACAATGCAACAACCACATTGTTTTTATCAAGGAAATATGGACCGATACGTCCCCCCTTCACCTCCCCTCCCCCTTCATGTCCCCGCCGAACACCCCGTCCCAGAGACGTAACTCTTTTCATACATCTTGCGGATTCATAAAATAACTATAGCTGTATACTATTTATTATAAGGTTATTTATCACTGATTGTTCATTAATTGATTGCAAATCCTCGTGAACAGTTACTTAGTAAATAAAAGAAGCCCTACACTCATTAAAATATTTATTCACGAAAATTAAGCGAAATGCAAAACAAAGTATGATGAAGATTTTTACTGCATATGGCAGATCTTCCGTATGAATAAAATCGTACCGAAAGTCCGACCTTCCAACCGAACATTTGGCGGTGACAGGGCCGTGATGGGTGGAGGGAGTGGGGATGGGGCTTGAACGGGGCAGTCATGGCTTGGATAAGTAGGGATGGGGGGTTGTTGGGGTACAGGTGGGTGTGGTGAGTGGGAAGGGAGTTGGAGGGGCAGCTTTGGTTGTGTTGAATAGAGATTGGGGTTTGAGGGGCACGGGTGGGTTTGAGGGGGTGGGGGGTGNTTGTAAGTAGAGGGAATGATGACGTAGTAGCGGGGGCGCTTACCTGAAAAGCCACAGCGACAGGGATCATGTTTGTCGAGGTAGTGTTCCAGTGTGTCCCATCCCCCGCCCACTCGGATCATCACATGGTTCCGGAGGATCTGGAAAGAAATAGTGACGGAATGCTGAAAAAATCACAGTTACATAAATGTATAATGAGTTAATATTTAATGTCATCAAGTATGAAATATCGCTCACTGAAGAAGCGTTGATCTGAACACCCGACTACCCACAAAGATATGGACAAAGATCTAGACAATCAGGACAATCATATGCCTTGCGGTTTTATCGATCCGAAAAAACATACATTCGAGATTTTCGGATCAGAAACACAAAAATATTTCAAAGGGAAACGAAAAACATGTCATCCATTTCTTGTTAACGATAAGCTTGTACACGTTGTTCAAATAGGTATAAATACATCGGGTAAATTGTTAGTTCCTTTGAAAAACAGAACCGATGCAGAAAGGTCAGATAAAGTGCATATCGATAAATTCTTGATTATCTCAAGTGTGTTGAATAGTTTGAAGATTATATCGTTATATACATTTACCTGAGCGACAGGTGAAGCACACCTGTCACACACACCTACAGCTTGTGATATTTCCACACACTTGTTCATTGTAAAAAAAAACAGGTAAAGACGCTGGCAAAAGTAATAAGTTAATATTACGATTTACAAATGCCTTCACTTCTTGTAACTCTGGCCCTCATAAACAGGACCTGCTATGGTGAGTTGTGACAATTATTATATCAATTCTGCCAGTTAAAGCTGAGGATGCGTCAGAACCCGCCCGAGCCTTCTGTAGATAAGGGGAGATAATACCATCAGTCGCTATCGTAGAGTCAATACTGGATTTGGCAGGGGGCACATTTTAATACCACCAGATGGCGAAAGTGATGTCAGAGAGGGGGTCATTCTTAAATTAATGACACGAGCGTATTGACCGGGGATAAAAACTCTTCGGAAGTGGGAGATTAAAATTTTCAATACAGTGCACTTACAACGTGTAAACATATGTCTACCCCCTAGATAACTAGATAGCGAGTCTTTGTCAGCAGAATTGTCAATCATTCATACATCCAAGTAATTAAATTTTGGATATCACCTCAAAGATTTAGTTTTTTCATGTCATTTCCTGTAGCCTTTAAAAACATACACACACCAAAAGTAATGACGTCATATACCGGAAACACTTTTTTTTATACATCTCGCTTCAAAGTAAAAATTCTGTTTGAATAAAAAATGAATTTATAAAGTATGTATTTAAATGGCACTGTCTTCAATTGAAAGATTTACTAAGAGTTCGAGGGAAAGGGAATTATACGGTATATATACTGAAAAATCCGTGTTCATTTTTGTGCATAAACCGCTCTGCTATATGGTTTCTGATGACCCTGCAATTCCACATCAACATCTGGTTTAAACAGTTTTCATCTCAATATTCCACCTAGAAAGTACTTGTCTTAGAATAGACACATACTGACAGTTTGCATTGATTTGTGAATCACAAACCGCACGGCAGGTAAATGGTTGTATATCGCGGTAGTAATAGCAGATCATTGTTGGGACCAACGGAGTGATATATACAGAAGGGGGGAGAGGGAGGGGCGGGGGATATACTTCACAGTCGTCCCGATACGTCACCCTCTGTATTTACGTGGTAAATATACATATGTATACATTGTATACTATAAACGTTTAAAGCTGTTTTATACAATGCCTTTTCTTCCTTTTGATTTTTTTATTAGTTTATAATTGTCTCTTGCAGACCAGGTTGTATTGTAATAGCTGTTAACTTATTGTGTCCACCAAAACAGGAATTCTGCGTTACAGTTACTTTAATCCAGGATATACTGATCTGAAACCTTCCTGTCTGGGTGTTTGATCCTAGCTATGTGTATATCTCGTCATTAACCTAAATCTACCTGCATTGATTTCTAATTAGTACTCCTATCGATTACCTGTGTCCAGGTGAGGACAGGTATGGAAGACCAACTTGAAGTAGATGTGAAATCGACACCTTTACGGCATGTATACTCAATTCTACATATAATCGATTGTCGTTATACCCCTGTATATTTATACATATGTACATTAAGGAGAACGGGACAGATACTTTAAATATATAATGTCATGTATTGTAGCACACAGGGACATGTGAATCAATAACACGGAATATGTTTGGACCTATCCTGATACTGTATGTAGGGGGTATAATTAGACATACTCATTATAAGGGGTTTAGATGGACAACACACTCCTCGCTGACCAATGATATTATATAAAGACAAACCTGTATTAACAAACACCCTCGTGAGCTCAAACTCGTGGTCTCTTTACACAAGTGGTCTCTTAATACAGGTTCAGTTTACAAATATATCCTTACAATTAGGAACTTTTAAAATTGACCCCTTAACACAGGTGGTATCTTAGTGGAGGTAGGTCACATGAGCATATTTGGTCGTATACATGTACTATTTGGGGATAAATAAAAAAAATAAAAAATGGGAATGAGATAGGCTTGGTATGGGGTTTTAAGGGGGCCGCGGTGGCCGAGTGGTTAAGGCGTCTGGCATTCTGCTACAGTTTTGTACCACTAGCACTCCACCACTGGGTCGCGCAGGTACTGGCCGTAGGTTGGTGGGTTTTCTCCGGGAACTCCGGCTTTCCTCCACCACTAAAACCTGGTACGTCCTTATATGACCATACATGTAGCTTTTAATAGGACGTAAAACACAAACAAACCAAACCAATAGGGGCTTTAAGTGTTGATCTAAACCAAATAGTGTTGTTCGAAAGTCCCACGAACTACATAAAACCAGATCTTACGTTTACTTTGATATTTTGGCCAATATTTTAAGACAATGAGTCCCAATCAAAACTCACTACGACGAGTGAAGACTTACCCGGACAAATACAAGCGTCTGCGAGTCCCCGATTTTGTATTTTCCTTCCCCGACTTTGATAATTGGAAATTGGACTGGACAGGTACATCTTCCCGCCAATTCCTGCACCTGGAAAACATAAACGGAAAGCAACATTAGCAAATACAATCTAACAGTTATATATTCTTCCTGAAACTCTAGAAATAAAAGAATTTCGAAAAATTAAAGATTTCCTCCAAGACATTTGTGGTTGGTGAGGTGCATATAGACGTGTATGTGCAAATATATATCAATTATGAAATTCGAAAATATATAGGACATTGCAAATAAAACACAAAATAAGTCTTGATAAGACATTTTTCCATTCGTGTTATTTCCAGTAAAATCCGTGTTTCGCTGTTTGGTTTGATGTGTTGGTTGAGAATAACAAATCAGAATGTTTAGTAGTAATATTGATGTTATCGATTCTATTATAAAGTTATCGAATGGCGATGAAAAAGCTTACACATATTTGAATATAGCACGATTCTGCCTCAGAACAAGTTTCATCACTGTCATCAATGCTTTCGTCGTCATTTAAATCCATTTCGCAGAAAAGTTGCATGTAGGAAGTTTGTTAATCGTAAAATTAGCAGATCGCACTGCACTCACGGCAGGGTATTTCGGTACTGTTGCCGCCACATTGAGGAAATGAAATTTGTTACAGTAAGCCCTCACTCTCAATAATAAGCTACTTATAATAATAGCCTATGTCAAATGGAAGGAAAATCAATGATTGAAAACCGGTTTTGTTTGTCTACCGAGGAATGTATCGATATTCTTACAACCATTTATAAATGGCAAACAATGGAGTTTGTACTACACAAGGCAGCGGTGAGCAGACGACACCTTGTACCCGTGTTGACACGCGCACGCCTGCTATATTCAGTAGTATACATCGTACCTCGTTGTAACTGTCCCTTAATTTTAGATACAATACAATACAATATATTTTATTAAAGTGTCACATATCGATATACATTAAAACAACAGGTTTTACAAAAAGTAAAAGCTATTTCAAAATTTAAATCAATCAGATATCGACATCCAGCCGAATCTGGCTTATGAGACACTAACAGTCATTATCACACCTTAAAATAAGTAAAATCACTAGCACTGTACATAATTATATGAAGTTAAAACATAGGCGCCTGTGATACATATGATATAAAGTAACGGCTAAAATATTTTGTATACATTGTACACGGATTTGTCATTAAAAAATGCAGTTTACATTTGTCCTCCAGCTCCTTAAAGCGTCGGTTAAAATTAAGATATTAATTTTAGATATTGATTTTGTTCTATCATAGTGTTTACACCTGGTGACCGCTTTGTGATACCGACAGGTATTTATTGTTTTCTATCAATGGTACTCAGATTATTGGTTAACCTTGGATGGTAAAAGAAAGTGTTATCAAAGAATCAACATTTTGACATATTTATTGAATGTAGTTCACTTCGTACTAAAATATACACATATGTGCATACTGGAAAGCCTCACATGTAAATCGAGCAAACCAAGGGACATAACTCGTACGACCTTAACCAAAAAGTCGCTCGGTGTGTAGTTTAAACTAGTCTCGATCTATGAAAACATGAGAAATACACAAAAAAATAAATATAATATTAATAAAGATGTTAGAATATATATGAAAACAATCGAACAAGAATTTTCGGAACGCAATAAATATCAACACCTGATGCATACAGGTATTTGGTCCGATTTTACCTGTAATTCCGGATGTGTTTTATCAATTCGGCCACAAAGAACAAAGGTTAGGCCGGGTATAACTAGCCCAGCTCACGCTAACCTGTATATTAACAAATTCTACAGTTATTTATCGCCACACGACCTATCACACCAGGGAACAGGGGTATCGAACACAATCAACACGGACCGGGGATTGATTACTTCGTGGAGTACGGAAACCAGCACGGAACAGACAACTAGTTTGGTCGTAAAATGAAAGTAGAATTTGAACATCATTTTTTAAAAGCTACGAGACAATGAAAAAAATTAGACAAATGTTCACCACCAAAATGACCGCCATCTATTCACCTATGTGGTTTTATGATAAGCACCCCTCTCTATGAATGTGTGAGGCATTGTCTCGCAGGAGGTTAAGTTCTAAGATGCTCGGACTTACTACCCACAAGTCTGTTCTATTTCCTGGTCGTTAATACGGTAGCTGATTTGTGCAATCTTGTTGGGTCGTTTTCGTCCCGAAAAGACGAGAATAAACAAATATTAATTATCGTTCTTTCGTATTTCGCCCCGACGATTGTGATTCAAATTTCATTTACTGCATGAAAGGCCGAGATTTCTACTCCAAAAAAAGAAAGTGAAAAGTCATTAAAATAGCGTGCATTTTTTCGTCTTTTCGTGTATCATTTCTCGACTTTTAGACGAAAAGACGAACGGACAAAATGTAAGCAAATTATCAATTAAATCTCGACTTTTCGGGGCGAAACTCAGTTTCATATAGAAATTGTTTTTAGGGCGACAGTGGGCTTCCATAAACCATTCCATGGAATAGTTTTATTTCGCTACATTTACCAAAGACAAAGTGCGGCCTTATCTTACTAACACTATGTAAAAGTCACACGCAATCAGCCGGCAGGGGTCAGGTCTAACAGTACAGCCATATACAACATGTCTCGCACGTAGCCCCACGCGAAGCTTGATGGAAACTATTACGGTGTTACAAAACAAAGGGCACACACAGGTCCAAAGGATCTAACACTGGGCTCACATTCCTGATTCCTTTGTTGAAATTAAACACAAACATGCAGGTTTAAAGTTGTGTCGCATCATTTCAAACAAGAGAGAGTGGCGAAGGCGGGAAAGGTGGGGGG